GCACCACCATCGTATGGCTCTTTTGTTTCTTTTGCACATATATTTTGATAATCTAGATGTTTACTGGGAAGAGCACCTTTACAAATATATTTTTATTATGTTCGATAAATAAGATTATAATAATCGTATTCGAAAAATAAGATTTTAATGATTATATCCGACTAATGAGATTGAATGGCGCAATACGATGTATTTATTTACGTATTTATTTGCGTTCTATTTTTAAACTATTGTCATTTTAGACGTAATATTTATTTAAAAATTTATGTAGATTGTTGTTCACATATTTCAGCGGTTACAAAGACCTAATAGTTTGGTGGATGCAAATAGTACACAACGTAGTAAATCTGATCTTTTTTTTTAATTTGTTTTTCAGGTGCCCCAAGAAGTCCTAACGGTCTTGTCACAGGGCACCGCGGAAGTGCATTTAACCAGGAAGTTCACGCCTCCTTCCTTACCGTGACGCGAAACATGTCCAAAAATATGCTCGTTTCGAACCTGGATCTCCTGCTTATAAAGCAAGCGCTCTAACCACTGCGCCACGGCCGCAGTGGTTAGTTTCACACCGGTTATCTGTAAAAAAACCTGAAAAAGAAAAAAAAAAAAAAACCTGACAGCCTATCCACCAAGAAGACGTCGCTCTATTTTCAATACACAAGCAAAATACAAAGAGCAGAATAGTTCCGCTCAAGTCCAACTATCAAAACGAATTTCATTATTGTTCAATTTTAAATTTTCTACTTTGGGAAAAAGATGTTGCAATCGTTATCAATATGAGCCTTAATTTTGGCTTAATATGTATTATATTTAAACTATGCTCGGACAAAGAAATAGTTTGCCTGCTTTTTTTGACCTCTTCATAAACGAAAGCTGCAGTTTCGACTAGCTTTTTGACATTTTTATGTTACTTGCGTAAAAGTGTCTTGTTCGTGGAACTAGCAACAAAAAAGTTGCAGTAGAATTTGATTATCCACGTTTTATTTTTCATAGTACAAGGGATGGTCGTTGAAGCAACGTACTGCGATGTTGCTTTGTTGCTTAGATATATTTTTTGATAAATATTTGTCGAAATTATTAAGTTGTCAAGAGCCAAATACCAGTTAAACGTTGCGATTTGTCACATTCAGCTTTGCTCCATATCAAACGCCTCTTATAGGGATTAGAGGAACGGGTAACTTTTGGTTAAGAAGAATTACACTATTCTTAGTAAAACAGTATGTCTGTCATTTGGCTGTGTAGCCTAGAGGACTGGTTTTTTTATGTCGATTGATTGATATGGTTTATTGATCAGGATCAAGTTATTCCATTTTTTAGAGGATCCTCACGAGTACTGCGGTTGGTTGGAAATGTTATGAGTTGGATCGAATAAATCTTGATGAGAAATTTTTGAACTCTGCTATCTGTAGGCCAATTGTTTTGAATATACGCAGTAGTTGCGATACATCACCAACGTCGACGTTTGAGTACGATGTTTGAGTAGTGTTTTTGAAGTTAAAGTAGCCATTTACGCAAGTTTTTGGTTGAGCAGTTAATTAAATTAGGAAAGCAGAATCGAAAAAAAATTGCTCAAAAAAAGGAATAATATCCAAATTTTTTTGATCATAGCGTTTTTTTGGGATTATTATCGAAAATTAGTTTTAAAGAATTATCTTTAAAAAAAAATCAAAATTCATTTAGAAGGAATAATGTCGAAATTTGGATTTAGGAAACAAACAAACAAAGAGGTAGATCATGTGAAACAAACAAAGAGGTAGATCATGCGAGAAGTGTTGCTTCATCGACTGACAAACAGGTAGATCATGAAAGGAGTGTTGCTACATTGACCAAGGGTTTGGTTTCAGCAGGCAGTCTATCAATTTAAAAAATTGAATCTTAACCATTTTTTTAATTTTCGACATTTTAAATTATTTCGATGTTAATCATTTTCTTCTAATTTCAATCTTATACTGCTTTGAGGATTTTGAATAATATTTCTTTTTTCACTTTGTTTTAATTTTGATTTTATTCTCTATTTCAATATTAATCCGGAAAGTCCAATTCAGAATTAGTTCAGCTTGGCTGTTTTCGATACTGTTACTACTACCCATTTCATTGTTAGAGTGCTGGTTAATTCTTCGAGTGTTGAGTCGTTTTGGTTGTGAGGGCAATAAATACAGCCCAGAATTTCGTTATGAAACTTTAATTTAATTTAGACTTGCTCAATGGAGGTGCTATATATATATATATATATATATATATATATATATATATATATATATATATATATATATATATATATATATATATATATATATATATATATATATATATATATATATATATATATATATATATATATATATATATATATATATATATATATATATATATATTATATATAAATATTCCTGTTAAAGTCGGTATGCTTATATTTTGGATAACCATGTTTTTAATCGGATTTCACGTTTTTTAGATTTTTTGGCTAAAGCGTTGAGTCCTTCCTGACTATCTTGTTCCACAGAGGGGGTGTTAGTGTTGCCCCTGCTTGTGTGTTCGTGCCGTGTTGTGCAATGATGGTTTTCAGATTTGCAATTGTTGTGCCCTGGATGATTATGATAAAATTCGTGTTTGCTAATTTGGTCTTCTTGATGTTTCGCAGGACAGCTACTTGCGAGCCTACTGTTGGTGCTGTGGTGACTGTTGTGTAGCCATAGCAGTGAGTTTGCATTTTAGGTCATATTTCTGAATACACAGTAACTTAAAAATTGTTTTTGCATTTTTGTAGGTGAATTAAATCTAAAGTATTTAATTCTTTCTAAATTTGTATAGTTTATTTAATGCGGTTTTACAGATTTAAGAATAATAATAAGTTTAACCATACATATACATATGTACATATGTATAATAATATTAAATTAATTTTAAATAAATCTTTTCGTTGAAAAAAGTTTAGTTAGTTTTGTATCACTGCTAACTGTACACCTTACTAATAATATTTTATTACTTTCACTCATTTATTCTAATGAGCACCTTAAAAGTGATAAATAATCTCATATATTTAAACACTTAAATTTATTTATTAATTGCAAAAATCTGGCTAACTGTGATTTTATTGAGATTTTGGATAATGCCACAACTAAACAAAATTTAAAGATAAAAGAAGCCCTCCACATTAAATGGGAAAGTCCCACACATAATAAACAAACTTTACATTATGCTATAAACTTATCTATTTAATTTTACTGTCAGTTTATTTTCTTTTTGTTTTGACAGTTGATTATTTTTATTGGTTATTTACCGAGTTATTTTGTAATAAATATATTGGTTTATTATCTATAATTTTTGTCCATTAATATTTCTATGTAAAAACTTCTATTTTTTAATAATTATTTCAGATTTTTTTTTTATTTTAAAATAATCTTTTGAAAATGTAAATAAATTTTACGAAACATGTCAAGAATAAAAAACACCGTGTTATTTTTATAAAAAAATATTTATTTTATGCTATTACGACGTTCAAGATATACATATATATTATATATATATATATATATATATATATATATATATATATATATATATATATATATATATATATATATATATATATATATATATATATATATATATATAAGTATAATAAAATTACAAATAAAAAACAAAAGTCGGCAAAAGTTGTAATGGCACCCCCCCCCCCACTTGACACCTACTCGCGCCGGCCCTGATTGTATAGCTATTTAATTTTTTCTGCACAACCTTTTGGAAAATCTGGAAATATTTTAAAAATATCCCAGTGCAAACATATTTTTATTATGTTTGACAATTTCAATGATTATATCCGACAAGTAAAATTTAGTAGGAGTAAGACGTAAATAAATATCACGATCGTTATTTTGAAAATCATGGACATTATAGACGTGATATTTTGAAATTTATTAACATTATTTTTCACATAAGTCAGCGATTCGAAAGACTAAGTAAGTTGATTGATGTAAGTCGTAAACAATATTATAAAAATCAAAATATAATTAATAAATAAGACGTGATGGCCTTTTTTGAGTATTCTTTATTTTTATGCTTTATATTTTAACAATACCTACACTTCGTGACGTTAGATTTATCTTGTTCTATCTCCACATTTTTAATTTTTGTGATAAAACGATTTAAAAAATAAAAACATTAGGAGAAGGCATATAAAAAACATTTTTTAACTTATGTTTTCTTTACAACCTTTTTATTTATAACTAAAATTTCAATACAGAAAAACATTATTTTAAAGTACACTATCAATAACTCAATTTTTCAATTTTTTCAAAAAATGAAGATAAAAAACATAGATAATTTTAACGTCGCAACTTGTAATATTTATTTCTTATATATTTGTATTTGTATCTTAAATATTGTAATAAAGAAAAAATATTATAATAAAAAAAAGATTAATTAATAATAAATAATAATAATAACAATAATAATAGTAGCTGATTTCACTTTTCATATTTGGCCAATTTTTAAACATAATTTGTGATCTTTGGGTGTGCGTAGCTGTTTAACAATGACCTTGTTTTGTCTTTTTTCATTTCATATGTTTTATGGGAAAAGTTATTATTATTTAATTATTTTAGTGACGGTGAGAAAGCAATCAAGATCCTACATTCGTTAAAGCCTTTAATTAAGTTGAAGAACACGCTGAATTTTAATTAATAGCTAACTGCAAAAAGGAGATTTGTAGTTTTGCCTTTTTCTAATATTTTCTTTTTCAGTTTTTAACAAGTTAGAGTGGAGTGCAAGAAGCAAACTTGAGTCAAGTTCGAATTGAACTTTACTTTGTAACCAATAGCGGCAGAGTATTTTTTGAAGGGAAAACCCATACTCTGTCGCTATTGGTTGCAATGTAAAGTTCAAGTCGAGCTTGACTCAAGTTCGCTTTTTGCATTCCACCCTTACTTCGCAATTTATGAAGTTAATTTCGCCGATTTATGAGCAACCCGTCCTTTCGCGCGCGCGCAGTTACTTCATGTTCATTTTGACGTTCATTATTGGTAAATTTTTTTTGTAAAATCAATGGTGAAAATGAAACTGAAAGCATCAAGCCAAAAACATTTAATTTTAATGATCTCGTAAAATATTAAAAACTAGTTGATATGGAAAATATAGGGTATGTTGATGAGATATTTTCGTCTACTGATAGTGCAGTCAACTCAAATGATTTCATAATTGCTCTTTTTGTTGTTGTGTTTGATACAAAAAAAGGTAACTTAAACGCCTATTTTTAAATATTTTTAATGGACGCAGTTAATTTTTCGTATTGAGTTTTTCATTTGTTTTGTTATTTTAATATGTGTTTCATATGTATTATAACATTATTATATAGACGTATTTATATGGTATTACAACATTGTTATATATGATTCATGAAATATATTCATGTTTGATATATGTTATCATAATTGTTTATTTCAAATAAGTTTTTAGAAAGAAATTTTTTCAGCCTTATTTTTTTTTTTAAAAAGTTTTAAAAACGAGAATCGATTTGCTTTTATTTATGCAATACAGTAAATGATATATGAAAGTTTTAAATGTATAAACCTTCGTTTATTAAATATGATTTGTATCAATCAAATTGGCCAATTATAAACTATGGTATAAAAGATGAATTGTGCATAATATAAAAGATGGGTTGTAGATATTGACTATTGGTGTAGTCCTTGTGTTGTTGTGGGATGTTTTAACATGCTATCATTAAATGGTTTTATATATATATATATATATATATATATATATATATATATATATATATATATATATATATATATATATATATATTATATATATATATATATATATATATATATATATATATATATATATATATATATATATATATATATGTATATATATATATATATATATATATATATAATATATATATATATACGTTTATATATATATATATATATATATATATATATATATATATATATATATATATATATATATATATATATTGGATACAAAATACAAAATAACATTAGCAACAAGTCTTTGTTTATTAATTTAATAAATAATTAAAAAGCTTTTAAAGTTGTCTGATAAAAATTGTCATATCTTTAATTTTTATTAATTAAGTATTTCGAATTAGTTTAAAAATTTAGTTATTAAACTTTACACTATTACTTTAATGTTATTATCTCACTATTTTGATTAAATTTTATTAAATTTAGTAAAAGATGATCAAAAAAAGAAAAAAAAAATTAGAAAAAAATAAATATAAGTTAAATAAATCAGATCTGTTTTTATTGATTTACTTTTAAATCTATTTAAAAAAATAGCGATAATGAAGCAAATAGTATTAATGCCAAGAAAGAAGAGTTGTCAAAGCAGGTGTTTTTAAGTTTTAGCACTAAAAATGATTTTTTCAGAGTTAATGCAACTTTTGCTTATGCTACTGCAAAGATAAAAGTCGTTTTTTCTGAGTTTTTTTATTTATTAGTCAACAAAGTCTCCTAGTAACTCTGCACACTTCTCCCAGCGTTGCTCCTATCTCTGTAACATCCAAATAGTACTCAGCATTTTTCTTGAATGTGATTGCTTTTTTATTTGAAAAAAAGCTGTGTCCTCTGAGCACAATTTTTAGTTGAAGGAGTAACAATAAGTTGCATTTATTACCTTAAATGTTTATCATGAAATAAACAAGCCACATATAGTGGTAAAACTAATAATTTAAGATGATGTATAAACGGACTTATTTCTAGTTGCAGAACTGGCCTATCCACTAATAGAATTGATAACCATGTTTATACCTGTCAACATGCCCACAATAGTATTTGGGGATTGCTATAGCAACTGCTGAGGAGTGAGACCTTGTGTTGTCTTGATAAAACAGGATTTTCTTTTTCTGAAAATGTGGTTGTTTTGCTTCAAATTCTGTGTTTAGCTTGTCAAGTAATGATGCGTAGTATGCGCCTCTAATGGTTTTATCTTTTTGAAGATAAAACAATCTTCAAATAAATTTGTCTTAAAATGTTTTATTAAAAATACAATTACAAAAAATACACATAAAAAAAATTTATAAATAAAAAAATTTATTAGCACTCGAGAAAAGTTACTAAAAAACTTAGACATACAAAAAAAAAAAAATTGTTTTCTAATTGAGCTATTTTATTAGGCTATCAAAAAATTATGCTTAATAAAACTAAAGTTGTGGTTAAAAGATTGTGATTATCCTGATAGCATTATAGAAAAAATTATTTTTTAACACAAAATTGCAAGGACTGGTCCTATTTAAGAAAACTAAAAAAATATTTCCTATAGTGACAACCTTCTGTAGCAGCTTTAAATGTCAAACTTATGTTACTGAAGCAAACATTTTACTTAAAATTTCTTCTAAAGATAGAGTTAAAAATATTTTTATAATACTCATCCAGTATTGGAATTTAAATAATATCCTAATTTACTCAGAAAACTTACTTCTTCAAATATTGAAATAACCAAAAGTTGGATTATTCAAATGCAAAGGTATTCAATGCAAAATTTGCAAACTCTACCTTCAAGACGTAGATAAGTTCTAAAATCTAATGGCACTATATGGTAAGTAAAAAGTCATATCACTTGAAACAGTAAATTACATATACTAGTAAAACTAATAATTTAAGATTTCATATATTTTGTAGAACCGGCCTATCATATGAAAAGCATTTCCTTAATCAAAAGCATGTTGGATTTAATTGATGTTTCCTGTATTAAAATAAAATTTATCAATTACAGTAGTTCAAAGTGAGTTTTACATTTTTTTTGTATATAGTAATTTTGCAATAACAAAAACAGATGATTTTTTAAAAAGTCTCTAGTGCTAATAAATTTAATAAATTTAAATTTTTGTATTAGTGTATTTTTTAAAATTGTATTTTAAATAAAACATTTTTAAGGAAAAAATTTATTGGAATGTCGTTTTTGTTTACTGGTTTGACATATTTTTCAGTTTATATCAGTTAAAACCATATTTTAAAATTTTAAAAATACTTTTAATGGTGCCTCAAGACCTTTGAAAATTCAATGGGTTCAAAAGTATGAATTGTTAGGTCTCTAAAGAAACGAAGTTATACACAAACTTTAAAAATAATAACTATTTTATAAAAAAACATTTTATCTCAAAATATTTGATAAAAAAGAATTATAACTAAAAAAAACTTTGTAAAAATGCACATTTTTTATTTTTAGTTGAAAAATGTCATTTTCAACTAAATATAAAAAATGTACCCCATTTTTATAGGCAATGAAATCTAAAATGTACGCCGTTTTTATAGGCAATAAAATAATGTTTTTTTGATTATTAAATTGATTATTTTTGAATTTTTTTATATAATTTCATTTCATTTGAGATCCTTTTTTTTTTTTTTTTTGTTAATTATAGGGATGCGTTAAATGTTGAAGGGTCTTGAGGCATCCCTAAATATATTAAATTATATATATATATATATATATATATATATATATATATATATATATATATATATATATATATATATATATATATATATATATATATATATATAGGGTTGCCAAAGGAGAATACAGTGCCAAACCTGTAAAAAATTAATTTTTTTACTATGTTCTTTATAAAATCCTGCAATTTATTTTAATTTAAGTAGCAGAAAAAATGAATTTTTTAAATTGCGCAGGTGAACTTAAAAGTGACTATCCTGCCAGCTTTTTTGTGCGCTGGCATTATATTTTAAACAGAAAAGACTGATATATATATATATATATATATATATATATATATATATATATATATAGAGTATATATTTTAATATGTAGAGTATATATTTTAATATATACTTTATATATAGTATATATATGTATATATATAATATATATATATATATATATATATATATATATATATATATATATATATATATATATATATATATATATATATATATATATATATATATATATATATATATATATAATATATATATATATATATATATATATATATATATATATATATATATATATATAATATATAATATATATATATATATATATATATATATATATATATATATATATATATATATATATATATATATATATATATATATATATATATATATATATGTCTTTATAAAATTCATTTTTCAAAAGAAAAGGTAAAAAAAAAAATTTTTTTTTGCAAATTTGATTGAAGGCCAAAAAAGAAACAAACAATGAATGATTTAAGATAAGAGCTAAACTTTATTCATTTTTGTTGTGCAATTTTTGGTGTTTTGATGTAGTTAGTTTTTATTAATTCTTTCACAACATTTTTTGATGTAGTCATGTGGATAAAGTTATTTTGATGTGGAAAAAGTTATTTGTACAGAGATAAATGGTGTTCGAGGATCCTTAAAAAATGCAACAAATGTTTTTTAATATGGAAACAGTCATGACTGTCAAGAATACAAAATTACTGCTGGTAATTAAATTCTTGTTTTGGCTTTTGTCAAATATCTTACTGGAAATCATGGAAACTTACATGACTTACTGAAAACTTACTGGAAATCACGTAAAACTTACATTCTTACAGAGAAAGTAATGCTCAATAATTTAAACTTCTACTTAACAGCAGATTTTTAGATACTAAATATAATTGCAGGCAATTATGTTTAGCAGTTAAGTCAGGACACGGAGGAAAATACTCTTGTTTGTATTGTGATGGTGAAAAGTCAAATCTAGGAGAATCTCAATAAGTTGTTGTATGAAAGGTTTGCAAAAAAGCATCTAAGTAATGTTTTTTGCGAATCTATAAAAAAATTATAGATTCATGTCTACCTAATGTAGCTGGAGATAAGAATATACTTGATGTAGCTGGAGATAACAATATACTTAATGTATATCATTCACTAGAACTTTATTTGCTGATGAAGATTGTGACAGTGATTTCAATTGTGTTGTGTAAGGAACCTGTTATTGGTGTCTGGCTAAGTACTCATTGGATAATTTGGCATGGATATAATGGAAAATGGTAAAAATGTTAATAAAATTTAGAAGTTTCTGGTTCCGAATTTAACATTATAATTTAATATAATATAAAATTATTACATAATGTAAACTTTAACAACATCCTTTAATAGTTAGTAAGTGTTTTTTTAAAACTTCGTGAAGGTTATAAAGATACAATCGCAGAATACCTTAAAGTTGAAGGTAAATTTTTTTGTTGTAGATTTATTTATAAGCCTATTAAGTGTATATAAGCTTTTTTAGTGTATATACAATATATATATATATATATATATATATATATATATATATATATATATATATATATATATATATATATATATATATATATATATATATATATATATATATTTATATATATATATATATATATATATATATATATATATATATATATATATATACATATACACTAAATAAGCTTTACTACAAGCTTATATATATATTATATTTATTACTATGTGACACTCAATGTAATAGTAGTAATAGTAATGCTATACTACAATATTATAATCACTTACAGATGCTAAAACCGCATCTGTAAGTGATTATAATATTGTAGATTACACTAAAGTATAAGTCTTCAATGATAGCTCAAATTTTAATTTTGCTTTATTAATGCTTTCTCTTTTCACTAATTGTAATTAGAATTGAATCTCTTTTTTATAACGAAATTTTTTGAGCACAACTCCAAAATCAAAAATCAAAATTTTTAAAAAATTCTTGGAATTCTTTAAAAATATTACACGAAAAGTTAAAAAATTTTTTTTTGACAAATTTATGAAACTTTCTTTGAGGTTTAGTATGAACATAAGGTTAATTGAATGTTTTGTACATGCACGTGCAATACCGAGAAGTTTTACTATTAGAGTTGGAGTCGCGATTTTGTTTAGCGACTCCGACTCCGCTAAAAATGTCGCAACATTGACTCTGACTCCACAATTACGCCCTGAATTAAACCAAAATAGCTAGAAGTTAGATAACTATTTAAAATTAAACCAAAAGACATAGAAATTAGATAACTACTTGTTAAATTGTTTCAAAAGTACAGAAGAGAGTCTGGTAAACATGTTATAAGACTGTAACAGGGAAGTTGTCCGGACCCAAAATGTAGACGAGTCTAAAATTGCAAAACTTTCTGCTCTAATATAATATACTTGCTACCCTTGTGTTGCGCACAACCTTCATACATCTCCCTTTTATTTAATTTTCATCTCTCTCTTTAAAACTTTTTTAGTTACTTCTAATTTTTATGTTACCCATTCATGTTCTTGTGTTGACATTTTATTTCTATGTATTATTTCTGTTTTGCTTTATTAAAGTTTTTGGCAACAAAATCCATTCGATCTTATACATCTATACAAGGCTAAATCTTTATAAATCTAATTTATATAAACTATTTTATAATTATATATATAAGTTTGTATAAACTTTGACATATAGCACCTTTTTTATTTTTAAATTTTAAAAAAATCTATATTATGTCAAAAACTTTTGAAATTTTATTTATATTGAAAAAATTTCGTTTAATTTTTGAATTTAATTTAATTTCTGACAGGTTAAATTGAAAATAAACAATTATAATCAAATTTCAATTTTAAAAGTTTTCGCAGAAGATATCTAAAGTTCACAACACATATGTTTTTAAATAAAGTTCACACCACTTATGTTTTTAAATAAAACTTGTTGTTCCTTAAACAACCTTACCAAGTTATTTTGATAAGAAAAAAAACAAAAACCAAAAATCTAAAAATCTAATTCTAATTTTTTTTTTAACTTTTTATGCCAATTTGTTGAAAGTGTTATAGTCTTTTGAAAATTTAATTCAATGTTTTCCAAAACACTTAGAGTTGTTTCTATAGTTGTTTATTTGCGAAAATACCAGTTTAAAACTGTTGCTTAAGTGGCATTTTTTCACACGTGAATGCAAAAGCTAGTAATTTATTACTAATTATGTCATATTTTCCTTACTATATGACTGATTTTAATATAAAAATAAGCAGCAAAAAGAAAATTAATCACAACAAAAAGTTCCAGATGGATGTACCAAATGTTGAGAAACGCCACAACTCTAAAATCATTTACAACTGCAAATTTTCTAACAGTACTAGATCCTGCAAGCCTCTTCTAATTTGCATTGAAAAAGAAAAAACTGTAGAAATTTGCATTGAAAAAGAAAAAACTGCAGAATTTTTATTTTAAGAAATCACATGCTTGCTAGAAGAAATTTACAAGTCTTGTGTCGATCCAAAAATTAGCTCTCATTTTTTGAAAATGGAAAAATAGAAATTGAATAGTTTAAAAATTAATTTAAATCCTTCTTGGGAAATATTTATACAAATTGTGTTGTGCATTTCTGAAACGTGAAAAAAATATACATAAAGAAGAAATGTTGTTTTTTTAGGTAACCATCAACTTCAAGTTACTTTTTACCAAATGTTTTAAATATTTTGAATGAAGTTCTCTCTGCTGCCTCTTATCCAATTTTCCATCAAACCTTTCGGCAAATGACTAACTCATCTTGTGACGCCAAACCTAAAGAGGGTTCCTTGAATTATAGTGCTAGCATTCTGCACTTTGGAATTCAAGCATTTGAGACTTTTCTTCACATTGGGTACAAGGAGGGCATTTAGAAATCATATATGTGCCTGTCACATTTGTGACTTGCCTGTCGCTTTGCATAAAAAATATCAACGGAAGGTGCATAAAAATTGTTAAGCGCCAAAATGGAGGAGCAGACACACTAACCATTAGAAATATTGCCCGTACAACCAATTTAAATTCAGGTAATTTTTTTAAAATAAATGCCTTTTTTTAAGGTAAAATAACTTTTATTTATCAACTATATAACTGTTTTAATCAAAGACAACTTATATCATTATTACTTTTGTCAAGTGCCGCTGGTCAAAAATATTCTTTAAAACTTCCGCTGGTCAAAAATATATCCACTAATTGATAACTCTTTATGCGCCTAAAGGACATTAGTGACCATCTCATTCAGTTTCTGTCACAAAAGAATTGAGCTCAGAAGAAACTGCCAACAATCTCAGATAAAATCAAGGCTTTGTTTAAAACTCCTTTGTTGCAGCTAGGTCAGATGAGTCAGATGTTAATGGTTTTTTAAATTTGATGCATTTTTATAATTAATTATGATTTAAAGTATTCTGTAGTAACTTTTGTATTTTCCAAGATATTGTTCACATTTGTACACAAGTTCCGTGTGCAAGGAGTATTTTGCTTTCATTTTAGAATTTTAAATTGATTTTATATTTACTAAAAATATAATATAATAATCTTTTATTAGTATTAAAAATTTCTAAAAAGAAAAGATGTTGTAGTGATTCCTACTTTTTTTAAAGAACTTGCATTAAACTGCATGTCTGTAAACGTACGCAGTAAAATTACTGATATTTTTTGATATACTGATATAGAACCCCTCCTCCTTGTATGCGCCTGTATGCTTTTAACGCTCGTCCCCACCCCCGTCCCCTTTCTCCCCCGCCATCCTTCTGCATACTTTCACATTATTTATTACAAAATCAACACCTCCCCTTCCCCAACGCATAAGTTTTCCCAAACATTAAAAATAAAAAACGTTTAGTTATTGCAACATTTCATGTACTTTATGGAAATTTTCTCCAAATTTTTATCAACTTATACAGACAAAAATTGTTAAGACCGATTTTTCACCGATTTTGGAGCGGATGTTTACCTTAATACCTCCAACTTTTCACCGATTTTGGAGCGGATGTTTACCTTAATACCTCCAATTTTTCACCGATTTTGGAGCGGATGTTTACCTTAATACCTCCAATTTTTCACCGATTTTGGAGCGGATGTTTACCTTAATACCTCCAATTTTTCACCGATTTTGGAGCGGATGTTTACCTTAGCGGTGTAATCCACTTTTTTTGGTGCTTTTTGAAAATGATTACTTTTGGTATATTGACACATCAAGCAAATGTCGAAAATCAACTAATAAACAATTTATTATTAATTATTTATTATTATATTATATATAATAAATCTTATATCTTTTGTTATAAATACAAAAGTATTTATAGAAAAATGTCAGTGACGGATCCAGCATTTTTTTGGTGTGTGAGATTTAACTTCCAGACATGGAGTAAGCTCCAAACGTTTTTATTTTTATAATTAAGTCAAATAATGATGCTATACAAAAAATAGCGATGATTGGAGGCTGGGAACAAAAGAACTCTAAAATTTCATCCCTACCCCACCGAAAACATTAGGGCAACAAGTTGATAAAATATTTTTTGTACTATTCTTAATTAGACTTATATTCATCAATAGGTTTTAAGTTTCATAACATTATCTCTCAGCGTTCAAAAATTATGATCATTAAAGTTTAAACCCCCTCAATTTTAGAGGGTTACAGGAGGGGATAAAATTTTAGTTTTTTTTTGTTCCCAGTCTCCAACTATTCCAAGTATCATTATTTGACATAAGTATAAAAATCTCAAACACAAAAAAATGCTGAATCCGTCACTGCAAAGTGTTTTTATGCATAAACCACGTACAATTGTACATTTAATATCTTAATCCAGTTGCACAGCTTGTTGCACACCTTGTTACACAGCTTGTTACACAGCTTGTTGCACAACTTTGGCAGGAATGAACGATTCTTTTATAGGTATCTAGTATTAAAAGCTTTAAATAAATCTTTGAAGATGCCAAGAATATATTTTTATTTTTCAAATAAATCAGTAGTACTTTTTTTAAGAGGATTTTCAATTTTGTTTTTCAAAATTGTTTAGAGAAGTGGTTGGGGGAGAGATAAAATTATTTATTGAATTGGTTATAAAAAGAATGTTTTTAGCTAAATTAAATCCAAATAATCGAAAAAACTTGTGTAACTATTTTTCGAGAATCTTAAAAGAGCTTGTAAATTTATTTTATTAGTTTTTTTTGAGGGTCTTAGAAGAGCTCGTAATTTCTCGTAAGTTTATTTTAATAGTGTTTGGCAAAGAGCACATTTTTAGTTTATGATTGTCTGTGATTTCGTTTATATTAAATTTCATTTTTGTACTTTTCAAATAAGTTGTTATAGTATTTTTTTTTTTAATTTTTTTCTTTAAAATTGATTTCCAAAAAAATTTTAATTTCAACTGTTTTTGATTTTAAGTGTTTGATATATATTATAGTTTTTATTTGATTTTTGAAGATATTTTCTGACTTTGGGATCCATTGTGATTTTATACTTTTGTTTGTTTTAGAAATATCGAAATTCTAAATTATGAAGTTTATGATATAAATTTTGGAAAACTTACATCATAAACTTTTAAAAAGGAAAACTTATATAATAAACTTTTAAAAATGCGTTATACATTACATTTGATTTAGATCGTTGCAGTGGTTAGAGTTCTGGCTCCAGAACCAAAAGTTTGACGCCGGCGTCAAACTCTGTTTGACGCCGGCTCTAGTTTAATAAGTGACATTGGTAAGGAAGGAGGCGTAAACTTCCTAGCTATATGCGCTTCCGCGGTGCTCTGTGATAAGACCGTAAAGACCTCTGGGAGCAAAAACCCTTAATAACCACACACACACACACACACATACACAAGATAAATGACTTACATATCTCGATTTAATCAAAAGTAATTAAAGACCGTGGATATCTGGTTTGGTTTGTTAAAATCCGAATCCGATACCCGATTTTTGGATAGTTAAAATTCTTTTTCATATCCAATCCGATTTAATCGGATATCCAATTTTTGGATAACCTTTTAAATCGGATCGGAAATCAGACTTATCCGAATATAAAATAAATTAAACAACAAACACATCTTTATATATTTCCGCCTGGGTGTAAAAAAAACATTCTTCTTTGTTTAAGCATTTCAGAGAGTTTATGGTGCATTTCATTTTTTTCTTGGCAGAAAATAAATTATTTTTGCAAAAGATGCACTTCATAAAAATATAAAAAAACAGTAATTGAAAGAAGTTTAATAAAATCTATCTGTAAAGAGGTCTATTTACAACTTAATTTCATAAGTTTATTTGGCGTCAACTTTTAAAAAATGTCCATTTAATTTTGGCATTTATTTCTTGCCTTTCGCATCAATATCCTGTTTAAGTGAATAATTGGCTATTTTCATAGTCACATGTGTTTTAAAAACATATTAGCACAAACAATAGTTTTAATATTCGGTGTATTATAACTATAGTAAAAATAAATAATTGAACAAAATAAATAGCTATATATTTACTTATAACTAATTAGTGTTTTTATTTTTAAAGGAAATGATAATAAAAATACTTAATTATATATAATTTTGATATTATCAACGCTAAAATAATAAAAATGTAATAAGAAAAATCAAACAAAAGGATTAAATAACTATTTTAAAGTTATTCGTTGTTTATAATGAACATTTATTTTGTTATGATTATGAACATTTACAGACGAGCGCGCAAAAAGTATAAATTCATTTTACGCCGATATTCCCTTCTAATGCCGCACGGGCTGGAGGCGGAGTAACCATTTTTGAAATACTGCATTAAAATTTTACTGTGCGGAAGTTTTCAACCGTTTAAACTTCCTTTGCGGTATTTTACCGTAAAATATATTGAAGTATTGCTGAGACAGTAATACTTTGACGTTATAATTTTACTACGCTCGTTATAATTTTACTGTCATCAAGTAAAGCGGTTTTCCTTTATTGTGCGACAAAATCTAATCTAAGAATAAATTAAATAGCCTAGCGATCCATAAAATCACTTTTGTAGAATTGTTATTACAAACAAGTTTATTTACGTTCTTTTAGTTTGTAAAGAATATGCAACCTTGAGCAAATTATTTTTTTGTATATAACAAACAACATGTAAAAAAACTGATATACGAACATCATTTTATGTTTCATGGATGCTGGATATTTGAGCTATGTTAGTTTTTGTCTAGTGAAGGACCATACAGCAATGTCAGTTTCAATAAGATTTGCAGTACCAAGGATCTCAACATCTGTAGCCCATATACTATCTGTGGCCATTCCACTTTTAGTAATGTAGTTTTTCACATCATCGCCTTAATATCCAGACTAAAGACTGGAACAAGGTTTTGATACCATGTTTAACAACAACATCGCAAACACGTATATGTTGACACTCAGAACCTGTCAGCAAAACAAAATTGCTCGAAAAAAACAATTTCCATCACTGTTGCAAACATGTATTTTTGGAGGTACATCATTTTCTTCTCCATCAAAAAGATCTGGCATTATAAATATTATAAGTCCTTGTTCTTCAGCTATTTTTTGAAGAATTTATTTGGAATGTTTCATTAATTTGGAGGGATGTTTCATTAATTTGGAATTACGTTGACTATTATCCTGATCGTTGTACTCAGAAATTAAACTATGCAATTTTGAATTACTTTTCTTTTCAACAAGTGGTTTAACACGATGTAAAGAGTACTTCTTCTTTAATGTGTTTTTCCCTTCAATATTTTTTAATAAACATGTTGAGTTTGACAAAATATCAAGTATTTCATATGGACCAAGCCACGCGAAAGTCATTTTTCAACTTTTTCTATTTTCTCTTTTTAGATTTCTCAATAGTACTTTTTGAAACACAAAATAGTTTGGTAGTGTTTCATGCTTTCTATCATAGTCTATTTTTTGTTTCTTTTGTGCACAAACAACATTGGTCATTGCTTTTTCTTCAAGTCCTCTTTTCATTTGTAAAGCTTTTTGTAAAACTTCTTTATCAAATACAAGATTATAATTATCCCCATTGAGTACATCTGTGTACTTTACATCAATTGGAAGACAGGGTTATCGGTTATACATAAGGTAAAATAGTGAATACCCTGTTGAATCGTGCACTTTAATACGTAAAGCAAAAAAGATTCCATCTAAAACTGAGGCCCAACTTTTAGCATTTTCATTTAAGATCTTATTAATTGCTTTCTTAATTGTCTGGTTCTGTCTCTCCACAAGGTCATTGGCTTGTAGATGGTTAGCAGAGGTTACACGTTGCTGAACGCCTATCATATCATGTAGTGCAATGGATACTGATTTAACAAATTCACGACCTTGGTCATTATTTTGTATTTGAAAACAACCATGCCTGTAAATAACTCTATAGAGAAAGGCTGCTACTGATACTGCTGTTTTGTCGATAAAAGGTTCAGCTTCCGTCCACTTTGAAAAATAATCTATAAAGACAATTAAATAATTGAGTCCATTTGATTCAGGTAATTTAATTAAATCTACACCAACTTGTTTCATAACTTGTTGTTCTACTTTAACAGGTTTTAAAGCAGTAGACACTTTTAGGTTTTTGTTAGAGGTTTTTTAGCATCGTTCACATGTTTGGTGATATCCTCCACAATTGAATGCCAAAAAAAATCTTGTAGAAATTTGCTTTCTCACAGCATTAATGCCTAAGTAGCTAGCTAATGCAACAGCTTCCTCAGATGTTCCAAGACCCTCATGGACTTCTTTAACAATGTTTAATCTTCCTGATCTATTATTACAATCACCTACAATAAAAAAAATTATTTGTATGAAATTTTTACATTATTTTGAGTTGTTTTAAAGCTATCAATTTTTGAATTTTCAAATTTAAAAATGTTGTGATAATTCACAATAATGCACAACACAGAATATTGTTTAATTACTTTATTTTATTTAAGTAAAACCTTTTGAATTAAATAAAAACTTCTTTTAATAAAACAAGTTTCCCTTACCTCACGAATACCTTTTTTGCAATTCATCAACTTATTGTCAACAATAACAAAGTTTTTACACTGCCGTTTAAAATTTGCTTTTTTTTCTTTTTCATTCACATCTTCAGGAAAAGTAATGTCATTTAAATATTTCCTGAAATCATTAAAGTTAATATTTTTGTACATCTTGAAAAAATAAGCTATATAAATTGTAAACTAAAAAGCCAGTAAAGTTATAACGAGTGAAGTATAATTTTAACGTTAAAATATTACTGCCTCAGTATTATTATTTTACCGCAAAAGAAGTTTGAACGGTTGAAAACATTCCCGCAATGAAATTTTAATGCGGTAAAAACGTTACACCAGCGCAGAACCTCGGACCTCTTGGTGAGCCAGAACTATAATTACTGCACATTCTGAATAAACACTTATTTTTAAAAATATTTATAAAGAAACGGTTTAGATCCGGGTATCTGTTTTTTAATAATTTTTAATCGGATCCGAATTTATTGAAAAAAACAGTTTGAATATCCAGTCCGCTTTTTCCAGATCAGATATTCAAATTTTCGATTTTTTAAATTAGATACCAGATCGGATATTAGGATATCTAGTGATTCAAAATTTTTTGCTCACATCTAGTTAAATGGCATGAGAAATGCTCTAATCTAAATTATTTTTGCATCAACTGTTAGAGCATTTTATAATTAGAAATATTCCGTTTAAATCTAAAAATCGACCAAATGTTTTACATCGTTTTTGTACCATAGTCTTCAATTGTTCTTTGAATGTGAAAACAAAGCGTTTGATAGATAGACTTGTTTTTGCTGTTTTATTAGTTCAATATTAATAATTCTTAAAAAAAAAAAAAAAGTAAGAAAATGATCCGATCATTAAAGATATTGGTCATTATGATATTGTCTATTAATGAAGCTTATGTTAAAGTTATTAATGAAGTTATGAAGGTTATTAAACATATTTGTTGTTATAAAATTGACTATTAATGAATTTTATATTAAAGTTATTAATGAAAATTATTAAAGTAATTGCTCTATTATTAAGAGTCATAAAACTTTAATTTTATGAATAAAGTTAAATAAAAACAAAATAAATTTATTTATTTTGATGATTCTATTCTTAAAAAGATTCAAAAAATAAATAAATAAGAAATAAGTTTAAATTGTGTAATTAAGTAGTTGTATTTTATTGAGATTTTTTTTCATAATATCAGTATTTTTTTTTGTTGAAACTTCTCATAATAGTTTTTTCCAAAACGTTTTTTTTTTGCAAAGCCTGTACTGAATGCAAATTTTTGAAATACGTACATATATTTGTAAAGCTTTTCTCTATATTTTGAAACAATTTTTAGCTTAACGCAATTATTATTTTCATCCCGGGTAATAAAGCTAAGTTTTTTAATAATTTTGTTTGCTTATTTTTTTTGGTTTTAAATAATCTAGATTTTGATCTAGCTCTTCTAAAAGGATATAACTTTTTTTTATTTAAGCATGCAAACTTTTGAGGTATTCTCGTTTAAAAAATATTTTATATTATGCCATACAAAAGTACTGTTGGTAAACTTGACCAATATTTAGTTTTTTCGAACAAAACAATCACGATATTAAGGGTACAGCGTTACTTGAAAAATTTATAAAATTTGCAAGTACATACTTCATTGAAAAACATTCTCTCCCATCTTTTTAATATTAAAATGTTTCAATATAATTTTATTCTCAATAAATATATAAAAACAAAACAAAAAATCAATTTTAACGAATTCGGACACAAAGATTGAATAATATACAAACTTTGTATCCGAAGTCCTTAAAAGTGAACATAGACAGACAACATATATATTTGTCTAATAATATAGTTAAAATTTGAAGATAAATTTAAAGAATCCAACTACTTATTTGATTAAAACGCCTAAGTAAAAAATTCATTTATAAATTATTTTTTTACTTAAGCGCCTGGTGGCGCGTGGTAGTATACTTATGCTATCATAGCTTTAATATCTTAAATTTCCTTATTAGAAATCCACGGCTTGTGATGATTTCATTCAATTTCAATCAAGTTTAAAAGTTAATGTTACTGGTAATGAATTTGTCACTAGCTCTTCTTTGCTTGAACAAGTTGATCTTGAATAACCAAATTGGTCAGCAAGATCTACATTTATTAAGGTGCATTGGAGTCAACAAACAATTCTAATATTACTCTATGGTTTCTATGATTTTGGGCAAACAAAATATTAAAACTGTTTGTGATAGAAAGATGTATAAAAGTTTTTCATCATTAGTAATTTTTTTCCAAGTGAATGCGGAACTTTTCATTATTTTTTCTCTGGAAGTATGTCTTACATTTATTTTAGAATGATTTTTTTTCTTATTGTGGATTCAATTAAATTATTTTTATCTTTGCATTTTTCCAATTAAATTTTATTAGATGTTTCACCATATGAGTGTTCTAATAAATGCAGTAGTTGTGGTTCAGAAGGTGAGAGAAACTCTGTTGTTGGAACAACAAGAAGGTTCATCGATTTCGAAATCAAAAGTGTAAACTAAGTGTGTGTGTTGTACAGTTGGTAGTAAGATTATACTTTTCTTTATAAGATGGTGCTTTTCTTTTTTTTCATTTTTCTTTATAAAAAGGTTGCCTCTTAGGTTTCTTTAACTTAAACACCAAAAAAGTGCATTTATGATTAGTATTATCTTGCTTTTTATCTGACAAACTTTTCCCCGATAAATCGGAACCTATTCTTATCGCATAAATTCATTACGGCACTGCTGAGTTAAATAGGTGTATAAACTTTTTCTGTGATACATGTGTTTTTTGTTAATATGCGTTTCGTTTTACTTTTACTGAAAGTCTTTTTATTAAATGCTTTTTGATATATTGGCTACTACCACGTCGTTGATGTAAATAATGTCCCTGGTGTAAATCAGTAATGTAGGCAGGATTATTTGATGTTTTAGATATGACACCTTCAGTCATTGTGAAAGCTGCAAGCTTAAGAATGTTTATGCTTATGTAAAATAAGAATGTTTTGCATTTTTGATTGGAGTCTGGGAATAAAAATATTTAAAAAAGTTCGCTTGCCTTACCCCACACGTGAGTACAATGGTTTTTTTTAATGAAAATTTTAGTATATTGTTCTAAACTAAGCTCATTGACGGGTTTTAAGTTTCATATAATATTCTTTAAACGTTTAAAAGTTATGACCATGCAAATATTTCGCCCTCTTAAAAAATGGGGTTGTAAAAACGGAACCACGAATTTTTTTTATTATTAAGATTTAATACAATTGGAATCTGATTTTAATTGTGTTTTTATTTTTAGTTTTTTTACTTAAATTTTTGTTCAATTGTTAATTGTCTTGTGAAGGTGACCCGAAGTATGTCATTTCGTTTGACATACTTCACCCGAAGTATGTCAAACGAAACCGGAACTTAATTGCAAATATCATGATCTGGATCGACAATTCTTTCTTTACATGCTTGTGTAAATGCTTTTTGCCTATTATGGCAATGTTTAACTGCGTTTGCAAGTTTATATTACTAAATATTGTTTTTACTGTTGAAAATAAAATGATGAAAATAAAAAGTAAATCATTAAAATAAAATTTATTTAACTCGTTTGCTATACCAGACCATCATTGTATTTTTATTTGACTTTTAATGTCAAATCTATTTATTTTTTTTTCAAAAATAAACAATATATACTACTCCACCAAAAACATATAAAGGTGACTCCACCAAAAACATATAAAGGTTATGACATCAAATTTATGAAACTTCAATTTTGTACCAACAATTTTAGTTGCGTTCATTAAATCTTACTACAAATAAATGTAGAAAAGAAGGACTGGCATGGTTATTGTTGTCGTCAATGTTGTGTAATTAAAGAGCTTTATTTGTTTACACAATAAATATTTATAAATCATATGACATCAATAAAAGATTTGTTCATAGAATGCAATCGAGTTTTAAAATCAATTAATAAACGTTAGACTCATTTTTCTGCAATTAACTATTGCTGTATATTTAGACAGCAAATAAAATAAAAAAACACATTTATTTAAAAGTGATATTTATGAAGCTGGTGCATTTTTTTAAATCTTTCTAATAGAATTTTACCAATTATTTGCTATAGTGATAATACCATTTATATTGGTAATTTTTTAAATATTACCGCTAAAAGTATTATCTCTTTACCATTTTTTAATCAATGATTTATAATTTATGGTTCAATGATTTTAAACCAGATCGAATAAACGGGAGGTTCTTAATATATGGGCGGGTGGGAATTTTTTACGAAACACAATTAAACAATTTAATTTTGCGCATTTTTTTAACAACTGATTTAATACAATTTAACAGAATTTAATATGCTTACATACGTTTTATACTATGGTGAGAAATTAAACTTTAAAAAATCGAAATTTACAAGAATTTTTTAAAGTTCGATTTTAAAGTCTAACTAAAATTAAAGATTTTATACTTATAAGTGACTGATATATATTTTTTCTGAATTTTTTATTTTTGAGATGTTTTTTTTGTTGATAAGTAAAAGTTAACAAACAGAACGGGGGGAGGGGGTCTTAATAAGCATAGGGTGGGTGAGGAAAATTTCCAAAAAAGAGTAAACGTCCCTTCCTATGTATTCCACGAAAAACGCAACTTTAGTTACATTTTGGTAATAAGTTTGTCCTGTTTTTGTCTGCCTCAAAACTTTAGCTTACTTTTTCAGACTGTAGAACAAAATACGTTTACGTTACGCTTTTTGTGGATTTGCCCATATAAATAGTAATCATTTTTTAATTTTAAATATTTTTTTCAGAAAAAGGAATGAAACTTTTAGGCGATTTTCCACTCCATCCGTTTTTTTCACGGGAACGGGACGGGAAAAAATAATCACGTGGGCATGCGTAAAGAAAACTACGCATGCTCACCTGATTATTTTTCGCTTTCCTATCCCGTTCCCGGGATAGGAAAGAAAAAAAAAAAAACGGATGAGTGGAAACTCACTTTTATGGATTCAAGGCCGTTCCGAAGAGATTTAAAAGGAGAAGAAAGAAGGTGGGGAAGGGAGGGGGGCACGTGTCTGAAAAAAAAACAACAAAGGCTTAAAGAAAAAAATGGACAGTTCCATAATTCTATCTTCAATTTGCAAACCTTTTGTTTTTATTTGTATTTGAGAAAATTTAAAAGCGTTAATGTTGCATAAATGGGACTATCCTATAGTCCTTTATTATGTATTAAAGGACTAGGATAATCCCCTACATTAGCCAGTTAGGCAGCAATTATTTTAAAATTAGTGTAATTGCTGAAACAATAAACAAGGAAAAGCATTTAAGATTATAAAATAATATTTAAGCCATAGAAATCTCAGCACAAATAAAAAAAAAAAATAAAGCAAAAAGCAAATTTAAGACAGCCTGACTTAAGTTTTAATGTATGTCAATATATATACAACTTCTTTATGTTCAAACAATTTTGTTGATTACTATAAATATGTGTGTGCATCTATATATATATTTATATATATATATATATATATATATATATATATATATATATATATATATATATATATATATATATATATATATATATATATATATATATATATATATAGATGCACACACATATTTATAGTAATCAACAAAATATATATATATATATATATATATATATATATATATATATATATATATATATATATATATATATATATATATATATATATATTTATATATATATATATATATAGACGCACACATTAGGATTATTTTTTTGTTAGAAAAAAGTATTAGTAAGACATGCATTATAAAATAAATGTAGCTCAATACATTTTATGTTTATACTCATAAAACCCGTGCAATGTTTTTTTCCCTAATTTCTTCTCTTCCACCAGTTTGTTTAATGTTAAACTTGGAAAGAATATCGGATTATTGGGTTCTTTAAAATGCCACCCATCTATAATCATTTTTACATTGTCAAGTCCAATTCGATCAATAACTTCAAAGGGTCCCAACGGAAAACCAGCACCAAGTTTCATGGCAGTATCAATATCCACTACAGATGCATGCCCACGATCATACAACCTCAGTGCTTCAAGAAGATATGGAAACAATAGTCTATTTACAATGAAACCTGATATGTCATTGCATGTGACTACTTTTTTGCCTAAATCTTCTGCAAAATTGGTCAATCTTTTAATAGTTTGTTCTGATGTTTTTGATGAGCGTCCAACTTCAACAAGTTTCATTTTCCAAACAGGATTGAAAAAGTGCAAGCCACCAAAATTTTCAGGATAATTTAAATGATCAGAGAGCTCACTTAAAGTTAAAGAAGAAGTATTGGAAGCAATAATGCTGTTTTTTGGTAATACTGTTTCAATTTTTTGAATAATGTCCTTTTTAATATTTAAATTTTCAATGATGCTCTCAATTACCAGATCAGCATCTGAACATCCATTTTCAATATGACTGTTTGTTTGGATATTTTTTAAAACATTATCTATATATTTCTTTGCTCCTTTTGGTTCATTGGGAAATCTTTTTTGAGTCGAAAGACTTAATGTTTTTACTATTTGTACCATGCATTTTTGTGTCGATTCGTCTGAATCTACTATTGTCACTTTAAAACCACTTTGAGCAGCAATATCAGCAATCCCAGCACCCATTGTTCCACCTCCTACTATTGTTACTTTATCTATTTCCTTTTCAAATACAGGCTCTACGCTTGAAAGATAACAAGAGAAAACTTTAATACGTGTTGAGGTTGCTGACAATAACTTTTTACCAAAGTAATTGCTCGCCCACATATTTATTTAACTTTAAAAATACTTGTGATGTGATTTCTATATATAAAAAAAATAAGTTAGAAAACAACTTCAAGTATAGAATAAATAATTTACAACATTTGCATACATCTATGTAATTAAATGCTAAATATTTCATGGCATTACATAACATGGCATAACATTGTATCTTTATTGCATGTTTCATTATTAATCCAGTGTGTTAAGGTGATGAGTTCTTCGTCCCGGAGACTTTTTACAAAAAATAATATTTGTTTTCACTGAGAGTTCCGAAAACAACAACAAGCGGAAATTATGCCGTCGTTAAACAGCGCTTTTTTATTAACGAAACGTGTAAATAGTTTATCATTTAAAATAAATACTAACTGCTTGTATAAATAGTTTTAAATTATTAAGTTTTTTAATTTTTAATTTTGTAGAATTAGTTAAAATATTATAATTATTACTTTCAAAAACTCGTTTTTCAAACTTTTCAATAAAAAATTTTATTTAACATTGAACAATCAAAAACTAAATTAAACAAAAATGCATTAAAAAAAAGCTTTTATAAATATGTACCCTCATACACACCTCGTCCGCTGCCTTAATTGTTTATAACGGGGGCTCAGTGCTGTATATTTATTATCGTTGATTCCCTGAAAAAATACGAAACTTTAGGCTTTGTTTATTTATAATATCATTTATTTTCTTAAATAGCAGTCGAGTTTTTGAAAATAAAATAAAAACTATGTTCAATATCTGAGGCGTATATAATCACCTCCTCAAAAATCCCCTTAAAAGAGCAAAACGTCGTAAGAATATTTTCAACGTAAATAGCAAATTTACGTTAAACTCCTCCGCTGCTTTTATTTTAATTACGGGGGCTCACTGCTGTTGAAACTAAACCGATTTAAATCATTAATTCTTTAAAAATATGAAGTTTTATACTTTTTGTTATTTATAATAATTTTATATTTTTTCAAATAACAGTCGAGTATTTAAAAAGAAAAGAAATTTGCGACCAATATCTGAAATGTAGATATTCACCTCCTTAAAAATTCCATTAATAAGAGAAAAAATATCGCTAGAATATTTTCAACGTATGTAACAAATTTACATTTATAACGTTCTATTGTTGTTTTAAAATATTAGTTGTCTATATATTAATTTATCTTTACAATGTGGTATTAATAAATTTTATTAATAAAATAGTAGCTTATATTCAATTAATACAATGATGTCATTAGTTTTTCCTAAAGTAATCATTATAAACTAACAAAAATCACTAAATTAAAAAAACTAATGATTTTTAAAGAATATTTTTACAATTTCTTTTTAAATTATTTTAATAACAAGAAAAAATTATTTATAAAAAAAAATTATTATCTTTGCAAAAATATAATATAAGATGAATGTTCCTATAAAAAGTGACAAAATCCATTTAAAACTAAGGTACTTTTATTAATAATGGTAATTATTAATGTGTTATATTTAATAAAACAAAATAATATATATATTTAAGTTATAGTTATTAATTGAGTTATGTTTCAGTAAAATAACAATATAAAATATATTAATGTTTATAATTATTAATGACAATTTATTATAAATATTACTAAAATTTAATAACTTTAATAAACAATCTTTATTAACAATAATTAACTTTATAAACAATCAATTTCAGAAAAAAAATATTTGGTGTAATAAAATTTAAAATACTATTTTTGAGTTTTTAAAACTAGGATTTTTAAAACATGAATTTTTAAATAAGAAATATATATATATATATATATATATATATATATATATATATATATATATATATATATATATATATATATATATATATATTTAATAAGATTTTTTAAAAAATTTAAATAAGAAATATATATATATAATCTAGACTTCTGCTTACTTATATTATAAAAACTAAAGTCTTTTTCCAATTGTTTGCAATTTTTAATTTTTTGACAAATTTTTACCTAAAGTTTTTTTCAGTGTATTTAGGATTGTGTGTGTGTGCTTGAATTTGAATTCGATTTGATCTTTAAATTATGGTTGCTAACCCAACAGAGCTAATACATAAGAACACAATTAAGTATTACGCTTTATAAAGAATTACAACAGAAATGCAAACCACATTACTCTCTGTAACTCTATATAGTTGACCTCTCTAATTGATACATTTAATGATTTTAACTTTTAATTATAATATTATTATTATTTTCTGTAAATATCAAATTTATATGAAAATTTTTTGATGTAATTTTTTTTTCTTTGAAAATTTTAGGCAAAAAAATAATAATGTGAAACTATAAATTTTTGATTCTTGCTTCACGCCGAGGCCTATATATATATATATATATATATATATATATATATATATATATATATATATATATATATATATATATATATATATATATATATATACATGTATGTATATTAGGGCCTTGCAAAGCTTTGAAATTTCGAATCGAATCAAAAATATGATTCTAGATATGATTCGAAAATTTTTAAAAATCGATTCCTTACTTATTTTGTTTTTGTTGTGGGTATTTTAGATATTCTGTGCTTTGGCGCTATCAAAATGGCGTTACTTATCCTTAAATACCTTTTTAATCAGTCATTAAAAAGGTTAACCAGGGCAAGAATATATATTCTTGCCCTGGTTAACCTGTTAAATAAATATATATTCTTCTGTGTGTTTTTACATTAACAATTATTAACTTAAAAATTTAGTGTATAGTAATTTAATAATAATTGAATATAATGCAAATCAATTTTTTTTTCATATGTTCTATTTTGATTAAATATTTTTGTATAGTTTTTATTTACTCTATTTTCAATAAGCAAAAAATTTTCACTAGAAATATTTCAGAAAAAAGGGCCTAAAAATCATAATATCTTACTTTACCCCTGGCTAAAATTTTCTTTCAAAGGCCTTTTCATTTATCAAAAAAGTTTTCTGTCAATGTATTGTTTAAATTTTATGTTACATTTGAAGTATAAATTTCTTTTTATTTTTAAAGTATAAATTTTGAAATTAAAAAATCTGAATGACCCCTGTAAAAAATTCCATTTTTTCCATCTTTTTATTTTGTTTTAATATTTTTTTTTTTAATTATAAAACTTAAATGTAATAATAATTATATAATATAATTATATGCTAATTAATTATATATAATTTATATAAATTTTAAATATTTCTTGAATATACAATTATTATGAACAAACTGGTGTAAAATAATCATTTGTATAAAATATATTTGGTAGGTAATTGCATAGAATGGTGTATACCAAATGACATTGACTTAACCGGTGTTGAATTTAAAGCAATAGTAAGTGGATCTCACACTGTTATAGAAGATTTTGTGTAAGTATTCAATTTTTTAATTAGTTTTAAAAATCAAGAAAATTATATAAATACAACTGTAAATATTAATAATTTTGAAAATATTCAGCATTGTTTTAAAACATGTTATTTGAATTAGCTGTTGCAAGTAAAATTCTTAAGAAGCAATCATTCTGCCTAATTTTATTCAAATTATCAGAAAGTAAAAGGAATTTCACAAAAGGTTAAATTTATAAAAAGAACATATCATAAAAATAAGATATATTTTTAACCAAAAAATTGCACATTTTGACTAAACTACACTCTTACAAATCTACCTATGTATATCTATAAGTGTAAGCATGTCAATTTAATTAATTAAAATGAATACATGTGATACATACAGTGGGTTGCCATATAATATTTGTTACAATTAGTTTGCCGTATAATATTAGTTACATTTAAAATCCACATATATTTGCATATCAATATCAATAATAGTTTGCTTTTTAAAAAAGCAGACTGTGCTATGAAGACAGTTATATGTCCTATAAAGTTGATGGCGTTGGCAAAAATGTTTCCAAAGATAATTATCATGGCCAAGCTATTCTCTGTACTTAAATTCAACATAGATTGCCTGGGAACTTTTAAAGCTGAAAATTGGGCCTGGAAATGTTAACCAACTAAAAAAGTCTCATACTAAATGTCTGGAATAATGATCAGGAGTTAAAAATACAAGAGTTGCAATAATAATTAAAAATAGTAATAAAAAAAAGTCATTAAAAAAGAGTCATTTAATTAGGAACTAATTAAAAAACTAGTATTGATGTAAACATTTAGTATAAGAATATATAAAATACCATTTTTTGTTTACAAAATTTTTATATATATTAGAACTAAATGAGAGTAAATTTGAGATCTCTAGTTTTATTTTTATGCAAATAATAGACAAAACATTTCATTTTGCAAAAACAATGCTCTCTTTAAATTATTGCATTAATTTAAAGAGAGCATTGTTTTTGCAAAATGAAGCTATGATAAATAATAGTTATCGAATATTTGTAGGGGAAAAATTTATTCAGACCTGAGAAAAATTGTATGTCACTTTTACATGCCTACATTTTATATCATACAGCCATGTTATTTAGGAAGAAATAAAACTAGGCCTGCAATATGCTAACATACTGATCAGTCATAAATTCTATGTTTAATGAGTAAGTTTAAAAGTTATTATTAGTTGTTAAATTTTCCAAACAGATCTTAGCGATAAGTATTTTTATAGAAAGGTTAATAATGTTATAGCACAGCAAGACAAAGCTATAAACAAATTATTATTAGTTATTAACAAGTAGTTATCAAGAATCGTAAAATATGATTTTTAAAGATTTTTAAAGGGGTTCTTAAGTAGTATAAACATTCTTTTAATTGCAAAAGTATAATAAAAAAAAATTTGATCTTTGTTTTCTTACCACACTTTAATGAAAGTCTTCATTCTAATAACAAACAGTCACTGAAGTAACTGACATCATTTTGACAATGTTTCTTTTTTTTTTGAGCATACAAAATAAAAAAACAAAACTTTAAAAAGTAATTATTAAGTAAAATTTTAATAATTAATTTGTTTATAAAAAAGTAATTAAGTAATAGAGCTTTAAATAGTTTATTTTAATCATAAGTTATAATAGAAAAAACTTCAATTCAATTTCTAATAAATTATTTAATGTTTATTTTTAATTTTTTTTTGAATTAAAATAAGTTTAAGTTAACCAATCAGTGACAATCTTCAGAAGTATTTTTTTAAAGTTGTTTAATGCTGCAATATGAACCACATGACATTTAACAAAATTATTGGATTAAAATTAAGTTAAAAAAAATAACAAACTTTTTTAAAAAGTAAACCAACATTTTTTTAACAACATGAATATCCTTCACACCTCAAATTGTGCCTCAAAGAATATATATTTATAGTATCAAATCAAAACTAAATATAAAATCAAATTTATTTTATATATATATATATATATATATATATATATATATATATATATATATATATATATACATATATATATATATATATATATATATATATATATATATATATATATATATATATATATATATATATATATATATATATATATATATATATATATACAGTAGATATTATTTTCCTAGGTATAAAAAAAGCTTTTGACTTTGTGCCTCTTGTCTTAAACTAAGAAGTTATGAATTTAACAATAAAGTACTTAGATGATACAGAAATTTTGTATGTAACAGAGTGCAACGTGTCATCTGCAACAGTAAATTTTCCTATTGGTCTCCAGTTACAAGTGGAGTGCTACAAGGCTCTATCTTTGGCCCGTTTATGTTTACTGTTTATATAAACAGCTTTCCGAATGAGTTATCAACTAAGTGTAAAATGTATGCAGATGCAGGCTTGGTCGGGAAGCGGGAGCGATCGCTCTCGATTGCTGACCATGTAAATAATATTTAGTTGCAAAAAGCTGGCCAGATTTTTTAGTCGTTTTAAGAACATTTTAAAAAGCAAAAAAAAAAAGCGACAAAGATTAATTGGACCGATGAGAGTCAATTACAAAAAAAAAAAGTAGGCAAATTTTCTTTTTTCTTTAAACGCGAAAAAAGTTAAAGCTAAATAAATTACATTTAGAACAAATATTTTCGAAGCATCGCTCTTTTATAAATTTTTTTATAAAATTAAGCGATGTTTTTTATATAAAGTAATAACTTACGATTGTTTAAAAGAGAAACAAATATTCTTTATTTAACTAAGTTTGCAAGTTTTAGTTTTACTTAAGCTAAATTATTTTATAAATAAAAAAGTTTATTTTTTTGATACCTATTTTATGTTTTGCGTAGTTTGAAAAGTTTAACATATTTGAAGCAATTTTCTTAATAAGATAAACAAATGAAATAATTAAATCATTGAATTACTATAGGAATTAAATTATCAAGATAGAAATCAACTAAAAAGGTTAAAAATACTTAATGACCAGGAAGCGAAACTGCTTCACAATATGGCTGATGATGTTTAGTGAGTGGGCTTTTTAATTTTAATTAGTATTTAAAGCAGAAAAAAGTATAACGAGTTTTAAGAATGGCAACTTAAGCGAAAATAATTAGAGTTAGTAAACCAATATCTAGAAACTTTTCTTTATATCTAATTTTTGCTATATATATTTGTGTTCTGTCGTGACATCAGGCGCGATGCTTGTTCATCCGCGAGTTACTTTGCATGCGTTGTTTGTATTTAGTAACTAGAAACTTCTTATATGTTTGTTACATAATTAGTTTTAGTAACTTTAACAATTATAACTTCATTGAAAATGCAATTATTTTTGTAAGTCTTTATTTAAATCATAAAAATTGTTATAAAAGATACATTACAATAAAAAACAGATACACAAAATTATATTTACATAAAGATAACATACTTTTTAAATAAAAAATATGAATATACTAATAAAATCTATAATTTATAATAAACTTTTGAAATTTTAACAATTTAATATAAATTTAAAACATTTATTTTTGTAAACAAATAATATATGTTCTTAAAACAATTCTAGAAATCTCAAAACGTAACAAACCGTGTATAATACAATTTCTAAAACATTTTAACAGAATACCCTAGAACTTTATTTCACTTAATCAGCGTATTTTTTGAACCAATAAAATTAGTTTGCTTGTTAATTTGGCGGGTTTTTAGTGTTCGCAAATATTCTTTTTGATCTTTCGCACAAAGATGTTTTGAGAACATTCAAGTTTTTTATGTTTCCATTTATGTCCGTAAAACAAAAATTTTTTGTTTCATAAATAAACTTAAATGTTCTCAAAACGACTAAAAAATCTGACCATTTTTACACAACTAAATATAATTTCCGTGGTCAGTATTCGAGAGCGATCGCTCCCGCTTCCCGACCAAGCCTGCTGATGATATAAAACTAATTAACATAATTAGATCATCTTCTCGTAAAAACTCAAACATATCTAAACAAATTAATAGCAGTCAAAATTATGACCATTAAAATTTAATGTTTGCAAATGTTAACACATGCATATAAGTAGCATTATATATATAGGTAAAAATACTAAGTATATATGCACAGCGTATGATTTGGTGTTAAACAGAGTTGACCTACTAGAAACCAAAGTTGAAAAAGATATAGGAGTTATAATTTCAATGGACTTAAAATGGTCTAATCAAGTTAATTATGTGCTTAGTAAAGCTAATGAAATGTTACAAATAATAAAACATTCATTTAAAAAAATATAGACATAAACGTGTCTAACCTATTGTGCACCTCTCTTGTAAGACCTTATCTAAACTAAGCAAACTTAGTGTGGTATCTTTACTTAGAATAATTTCATAAATTATGAAAATAGTGATTTTCATAATTTATGAAAATCACTATTTTTCGAAGCGCATACTCATATTCTTATGTAAAATTAAGTTTTACTTTGAGTTTTCTTTTAGTGTTTTTTAGTTTGAAAACATTTTGGTAGTACAATTGATACTTTTAGATATGCAATATATCATTTATAGCATTTTTAATTTTTTTAGAAAAATGTAAACTCTAAATTATTTTATTTTTATACTTATGTCAAATAGCGTTGTTTTGTCAGAAACTGATTAAACTTTCTTAATGATAAGAGCCTAGGAACACCCTCCTCCTCCCAAGTCCCCTGGCCTACCTCTGAAAAAATAAATTTATATCATCGTCCCTAATGTAGGGGAAAGAATTTTTTATCTAAAAATTACTCAACCTCATATTTTTTAATTTGCTAAAAGGTTTAAAACTATTTTCAAAACTATTTTTTGTTAAATATTTTATTAAAAAAAGTACTTCTCATTTGAAAGCAGTTTTTAAGTTTTACAAGTTTACGTTTTGAATAAAAAATGAAAAAAATACATAAAAATAATTTTTGGAGATATTCTTTTTCGAACAGCAGTGTCTCCAAGCTTATTATTTCCTCTAGTTTGTAAAACCTTATCAACACCAAACTTTCTTTTATTTTTA